TTTGTAAACCAAAGTATTTATATTTAATAGGATAAATTTTTAAATTTTAAATTGAGATTTCAATTTTTAAATGTAAATTAAAACTTTAATTTTTAAGAGTTGAGACTAGTACGCACTAGTGTCTTATATTAATTAAAATTTATTTGTTTCATTTTTTCCTCATTAAATTTAGAAATCAAATTTAATTATATCATCATTTTTTAAAAAAGGTCAATTTATAGGAAAGATTGCTTTTCTTGCTTCATCTCATTTAATCAAATCACCGATTTATTAAAAAAAATACATCCAATTGCTTTCCTATTAAAAGTCAAAATTTTAATTAAAGATTATTGCTTTCCTTGCTTAGTCTCATTAAAGTTTTGAAATCAAATTTAATCAAAACACCTAATTAATAAACGAATTTGATTTACAAAGAATTCAATTTATTAATTAAATAATAAAATTTGACTAGTAAAATTAAGCTTGAAATTTGTTCTCATTAGGTATAAAAAATTTTGATTTATTAATTAATTAAATAATAAAATTAGTAATATTAAGCTTGAATTTTTCAGTACTGCCATTTAACATTCAATAGAACTTAGTATTCATTAAGTAGTCTAATTTTATCAAAAATATTTACCATTAACTAAAGATGGCTAGAGGGGGCACCTTTTTATTGCATATAAAGTATAAACTGCGTTTTCAGCAACTCAGCGGTAAAACATAAGAAAGAAAAACCAGTATAAAGATACCACCAAAGTTTGGAATAAGTGGTAAGCGGTTTGTTTCAATTTAAGCAAAATCTCGAGTTTGAGACCTTGTGTATGCAACAACTTCCATTGGGAGATTCACCTACTATTTTCAGGTACGCAACGCAGGTTGATCCGGATTAGTCGGGGTTAAGCGCCGGATACCAAGCGAAAAACAAAAAAAAAACCAGTATAAAGCTAATGACCTAAGTTATTATTTCTGCTAGAAGTAAAAGATTTTGAATTTAAATCTTTCTGTATACGTAAGTGGAGTGAGATAAGGAATGAGAAAAGATAAAAAAATTATATCTATTGAAAATAAAAAATTTTGAATTTAAATATATGTAGGTGGAGTGAGATAAAAAATAAAAGAAAATAAACCACTTATAAAGCTTACTGTGATTCTTGGCTATTTTAACCAAAAAAAATAAATAAATAAATAAAAAAGTCTCATGAATAAATAATTAAACATTCTCCAGTTGCATTAGGAGTGACTCGAAAGACACACACTCTTCCACTTCCATGGTAAAATTCCCTCTTTTTCTCTTTCGCTCCTCCCCTGAATCCATCCCCATTGTATCCTCTGCAGCCATCCCCATTGTATCCTCTGCAGTGCCGGCCCAACCGAAAAGTCGTAAGTCATCATCCGAAAACCAATTCTGGAAACCACAAACCGTATCATCCGAAGCATTGGGAAGAGACGGCGAAGAATTCTCCACAGCCAAATTCGGAGGCGTCAGAGGCAACCCGCCGATCTGATTACCTCTCTGACAATCTGAAGCTGTTGTGGGTGGCAAGGTAGAAGGAAGCGCTTGGCGGAGGAGCCAATCAACGGTCTGGCCATCCGTCTTGTGGCCAAGCTGTTGGGTAAGTTGGAAGATGCGTGAAGCACATTCTACTGACACGCGGATACGGCAGCCTCGACCGCAAACTTTTCTGTGACGGTCTTTTGAAGGTTTTGCCGGTGACGATTTGATGGAGGTCGACATTGTTTTGCGGGAGTGAGCAGTAGACAGGATTGAAGCCTGTGTCAGGGTATCTTTGATGTTAAATATAAATACAGTAGAGTTTAATACATAGATTTTGTTTATTTGGACAATTTAATGTTATTCCTAGTTGAAGTAGGATAAGTTTTGGTGCGGCAAATGATGCTAACTACACCCTAACCTTATTGGAAGGTGACAAAAAAAGCCCCCAAATTGAAAGCAATAGCAAATGGCCCCTTAAACTTGTTAACGGCGGTGGCAAGCCGACCCTTCTCCAGCGGCTAATGTCATCATTCCCGTCCCCTGTCGAGCTGGACTTGATGCAGCTTTTT